TTTTATAGAAGAGGAAACGGGGATACAGAGAGGTGAAATCATTTGCCCAGGTTCACACAGTTCAGTAACAGAGAGGTAGGACTTAAGAATGTGAAAATCTCAGCACTGCAACAATGCTCTGGTACTTTTAATCTATACTATGGACTTAGAACCAATTGGATCTGGACAGTTAGAGAGAACACTTTTGAACCTGGGTTTCTGCAGGGGTCAGATCATTTATGAAAACAAGGAAGTCAGGGGAAGGACTAGATTTAGTGAAGGTTTCAGTTTTCACTCAATTTTACATTCACATTTAAAAACAGATTAAAGTGTCAATGATAATTATCCAGTATAGCTACAGATTGAGTGCAGGCTAATGTCTACAGAAAGTAGTTTTAGAAGAATGTTATGAATTAATGTCAAGTTATCTAATATTAAGACTCACTGAGATTCTTTGATCAAAGCAATTTGTCCTGCTTTGAATGAATCATTAATATTGATGAGTGTTTGAAACTGTGTTTGAATTTTTACAAATGTTTCTGAATTTTGCCAGTTTTATAGGCAATACTTTGAGTTGACAGAAAGGTTTAAGCTAATGAAGGCTTGCTTTCACACTGAAGTTGGAGATAGAATTCCAATTCACTAATTTGTAATTGGTCTTCTCTCGGTAAGCATTTGATTCCTCCCGGAGTCCCTGGTGCCTAGCACAGTCCCTAGTATACACTAAGCATCCAATAAGTGTTTCTTGAATTAAAAAACTAGGAATATTCAATCTTCAATATATTTAATTTATATTATGCTTGATACTTGAGGTATTTTAAAATAGCACTTTGAATGTCAGTTTGAATTGTAGAGTTCTGGAATCAGAAAATCCATTGGAGATTTTTCTCCTCTGAAGTGGTTTGATTTTTAGAGCTAAGTATAAAGCAAATTTCTGATATTTTATTCTCCTGGAAAGGCTGGACAAGTTATAATGGCTACGGGGAAAATGAAATTTTTTTAGGGAGTTATGTGTTTTTATATTTTCCTGAAGCCAAAGGCTATTGAAATGGGAAGAAGTTTAATAAATAAGTAAAATATAATGTAAAATTTAGACCAGAGACACCAAAAGAAAAGTAAGTTTCATGGCTACAAAGTTCGTAGTTATTTGGTTGAATTCCAAAATAAAATTATTTATTCAACTACGAATGAGTTCTGTTAGGGGATGTGTAGCCTTAGGTTGCTGCCTAGAATCACAATTAGACTAATATTTGCACTCACGGCATCTGAGAAACTGCTTATTTATTTCCTGTCCTCCTTCCCCCTCCCCAACCAGCCCCCACTCCCGGTCATGCTCCCACCACCATGCTTTAAAGCTTACTTTCTTTTGATAATAGATGGGGGTCTTCCCCTGGGTCTTTCTAGCACTTGAAGCATGTATCTAAAACTAAAGCCCACAAAATAAGTAGAAAAAAGAAAAGGCACAATCGCCTGACTTATTTTGCATGTAATATAATTTTTTCTGGTTTGACCAAGGTTTATACTATATCATGAGTTCCTTTGTTTGTCCCTCTCTATATAACCAATAAAGTGATTTCTTGGTTTAAATTTAAATTACCCAGCACGTGGTCTGACTATGTCAGTTTTGTGGCCTACAGTTGGGTGATGGAGATCCTGATCTGGTTCTAACACAGTATCAGTGTGTGACGCTGGACAAATTGTGTAGTCTCTAGTCCATTATTCACCTCTTTGGATTAACTAGATAAGCCATCTTTTGTTTCATAAAGGGAAAATTATGTGAGTATTAAGAAAATTAAATAATTAGGTACAATTCAATGAACCAAGTTGATGCTCCAACTTTGGGCACGCTGATAACTTCCAGAGCTCTCTCCAGGGCAAACAGGGCCTTCACCAATGCCCAGAGGCACACATCCCGACATGTGCAGATGATGAGCCCTACTTCCTCCTATCATCCCCCATTCCCTCCTCCAGCCTATTGCCATGACAGCCACTGTTAGTTTCCAGCCAGTGCCCATCTGAAGATGGCAGGAAGATGTTCACACATGTGACCTCTTCCCTAGTATGTCCTTGATCCTTTTAGGGGACCCTGTTCCCCTCTGTCTTCCATTATTCACAATTCAGTGAATGTCATCTTAAAACCTCTCATGAATACATGTTTATGCATTTATTCTCCCATAAATTATTTTGCTCTCTCCCTTTATTACCTAAGCAAAAATCTCAGAACACTTTTCCATTTCACCAGTGAGAAACAAAGTTCCAATCTTGTCTAAGAAGTAGGAGTGAAAATAATCGTGCCCCTCACTAAGGAAATTTAAGGTTACATTCAACTCATTAAGAAACAGTGACACCCATCTCTAAAGTCCTCAGGATGGTTGGTTCTATCTAGAATTTCTCCAATTTCATGGTTTTAAAAAAGGTAAACCTATTTATCTGTTATCACAAGCAGTCAAGATATACATAGAATGCTATAATCTTTAGTTTTCCTGTGTGTAGTTATAGCATGGCAAACATATTGTGTGCTATAAATCTAACATCTGTACAGGTCAAGGTAGCAGAGAGGAAGAAATAAATGACTTTGGGGGACGATTCGGGAATGTGGGTGTGGAGATCAGGAAAGTCATTACGAAGAAAGGGATGCTTGAGCTGGACTTTGTAGTTTGAGTAAAAAGGTTTTTAGTTGGCTAAGTCAAAGAAAGACATTCCAAGCATCAGGCAAGGCTCAGAGACAGGGCACCACTTGATGCATTTTGAGGAACAGGAAGTTGTTTAGCATTGTCAAAGTATGAATTGTTTGAGGGTTCTGGGGCAAGGGTCAGATTTAAGAGAGAGGGAGAGTGGGGGGGGGAAGAGAGAAAGAGAGAGATTACCATGTGTCTTGGTGTTTTTTTGACAAGCTCTCTACCATAAAACCCTGTACATTAACCGAACACAGCTTAAACCATCTCTTTCTAAAAATGAAAGCATGCCAGATTCTTGGAACTATTCTCTAAGTGTCCCCGAGGCCCTCGCCATCGTGCTGTTCTGGGTAGAATGACACAGACCTCCTGACGCGAGGAGGAGCTGCATCATCAGGGACAAGAGGAGAGGAAGTAAGAGACAATTTGGAAAGTGAAGCAACTTGTCTTTGGGGCCGCATATGTGGATGATAAGGTCTCATGCCCATGCCAGAAAGGGTGAGCCCCTCATCTCCTTGAGAATGCGAAGGCAGGGCAGGAAGAAGAGGAGGTAGACCACCTTGGAGGGGGTGTTGCAGTCGAGCCTGCCTTCCTGCAGGCACAACAAAGGGGACAGCAGACCAGGGAGCAGCCTGTCTGGGCACCAAAGTGACTGCTGAGAGATTCCACAGACAGTGAGGCAGTGGTCCGGGATCAATGAAGACGCCACTAGTCAAACTTTGTAACGTTCTGAAAAACATCTCTTTTAAGTGATAAAAAGTTGCAGGAGTTCTATTTTCTGTCTGTGGTATTGCTTTTTCAAGAATTAGACCCCCACTGACATATAATATAAATAATAACATAAACCTACCCTCAACACATGCTAACGCCTGTTGGATTAGGCCATTTTTTCAAAGGCATAATTTGAGATATGCATTTTAATCATTTACTTTACTGAAACAATAGAGTGGTAGCAGTTGAAGTGTCATAGTTAAGTTTTCTGTCCAGGTGGGTTTTTCCACTTTTCTAGTGCTACTCACATGAAATAGAGGATGGCTTTGGCATTACCTCATTTCTTCTGACCAAGACCCATTTCCCTGGGCATCCATCTCCCACTTGCCACATAAACCTCAGTCTCATTGGTTTTCTTCTCATTCGTAAGTACTCATTGTTTACTAGACACCAGCAGTATTTTTTTCCTTCCTTTCAAATCTTTTTTGTTGTTGTTCAGAACATTATTTTGTAATGATATTCTTTTTTAGATTATTAGGCAACTTAAAAAAGTTTCTGCATAAATTATTAAAAATAAAATGAGCCGCGTTTTGATTTCCTCGTCCCTTCCCATGAGGAAGAGAGAGGTAATTTTTGGTCCATCTTTCCCATCTAGGCTCCCACCTCTCACCACCAATGGTATGTCAGGATTCCACTGCATAGGGCTAGCCAAGACTTCAAATGCATAAACATGCGCTCACATTTGTTCTTCTACAGTGAACCACCACTTTCCGAAATATCTACCAACACATTCCTAAAGCAAGAGAGCACCCTGTAGCCAGGTACACTTTCTTAGTTTCGGGTTTTATCAGAGCCTCTTGGGATCCTTCACAGGGACCCTAGGTGTCTCTGTGGTCACGGTGCTGGCTGTCAGAGACACAGCCAGGTTCTCCACAACTGTCCTAAACACAGTACATTCTTAGAACATGACCAAGTCCCTATGAGTCATCATTTCCACATTTGTGAGGGAGCTGATTTTTCCTGCTATCACTGGGGGAGGGGGGGATTCGTATTATTGACTGTCATGTCCAAAAGGGAAACCGAGGCAAGGAAGTTGGCCAGCTCTCCCAGGATATATAAAGCTTCCAGGCCATCTCGGGCCTGGGAACGCTCCGCACACCATAGCTCCATAGTTAAAAATTGGAAAATGTATTTTACTTTATAAAAGGCATGACAAAGAGCAGCCCAGGAGAATATTGTCTTGCAGAGAACTCTGACTTGTCAATAAGGAATTGCAGAGACAGGATGGCCAGTAAAGAGCATCCAATTCCACCTCCACCTTCTTTTTGGGGGCACTGAAGTTCAGGAAATTTCACTTGTTTAAGCCGCAGGGCATTCACGTGTGAGCTGAGCCCAGAGCCCAGGTTACCTGATTCTTGGTCTACTAGTGCTCCTCCTACCACATCCTTCTTAATTTTAAGATGCATTTCTACACTAAAGCAAACATGCCTTAATCACAGCCCTCGAGCCCCGCGCTGCAGTCTGTCGTCCTTCCTTCTCCCGGCTTTCTGGCTTGGGCTCTGCAAGGCAGGGACCGACAGGCAGCAGCAGCCTTGGCCCCCTCGGTACCTTTCTCGCACCTCACTGTCCATTTACCTGCAAAGCTGTGGAGAGCCTCGTCGTTCTCCAGAACGCCTCTCTGTTTGGTCGCCTGCAGCTCACTTTTGGATTTCCACACCAGCTTTACCATCCTGATCATCTCGGGCAAGTCCCAGGGCAGCGGCCCCTGCTGGCACCCCGGCCGGCCGCCCGCGGAGGAGGGCCGCGCACCTTCCGGGGCCGTCCCCCTCCTGCCTAGCTCTGCCGAGTGGAAGTAGCGCTCTAGGACGGGCATTCTGCCCCGGGCCCCCGCCGAGCCGCGGCCGCCGCTGCTGCCGGAGGGGACAGTCTTCCCAGGCAGGGGAAGGCGAAGCCCCGGGAAATCTCCTCCGGCTCCGGAAAGGCAAGCCTCCTCCAGCCTGGCACAGCCTCCCCGTCGCTCGGTCCCTCGCGAACGCGGCCGGCGCGGCGACTCGCGGGGCCAGGCTTCCCGCCGGGGCGAAGGGCTCCCGGGCGCCCGCCTTGGAGACGGAGCGCTCTCTCCCCCTGCTCTCTCGGCACCGGCTGCGCGGCGCTCGATTAATGCCAGGCTGCCGCTGGGACGGCGGCCGGGGGCACTGCCATCGAGGCCTTAGCGTTTGCCTCTCCTCCTCGGATGCCTGTGTCCGCAGTTCTCCTTCGGTGCTCGTCAAAGTTTGTCAAGTGGCTTGTTCAGCCGCTAAGGCCTCCGGGCAAAGAAGCGGGGCTCCCCTCTGCCAGCCTCTCACGGGGGTCCCCCAGGGGCCGCTTATCTGAAGGTGTCAGGTGAGGAGTCACCCCTGTGGTGCAGGAAGCCTAGAAGCCTCCCCCCCACCGGCTTCGGGCGGCGCGAGTCCCAAGGAGCTCTCGGAAAACGCGAAGCTGAGCGCCGGCAGAACCGATCTGCAGGGGCTGCTCTCTGGAAGGTCTGGCCGGGGGCCACCTGGCCTGTCCACTAGGTCTGCCCTGGGATGGGGTTGTGCAGAAGGCTCCGGGTTGGAGCCTCAGCAGCACGGTTCACACACTCCCCTCCTCCACCCCCCTCCCCCTCTGCTGTCATTTGGTTCTCAGCAAACCTAACTGGGTTTTGGCCTATTAGTCAAATCCCTTTGTAACCTCAGCTGCCCTTCAGCTGGAAGGGAAATAACATCGAATCACATTCCAAAGCTAACCCCGAAGAAGTGAATTAGGGAAGCACCAAGATCCTCCTGCGAACTTGCAGTGGGGTCATATAGTCCGGACCGGTAATTTGGGATTGTTAGAAACCCATTTCAAAGGAAAACAATGATAATTTTAAAGGCTATTCATGGGGGGTGGGGGGCGGTGGGCGGTGCATACAAGCACTGCAAGGAAAGGAGAGAGTGTTGCCGGTCCACTTTTCGGACCCCGGAGCGCTCTGGACTTCGTATCTGGGCCACTAACTGCTGTGCGTGGTTCAGTTGAGGACAATCATGCGCCACGCTGTTTGGTCCCACGGCTCTGAGGTGGAGACACCAACCCTGGAAGTCAGAACCCATTCAACAAAAGGGGGTGCCCCCTGTAGCTTGTGTGAAAAGCCCCGGACATAAATGAAAGTGGGGTGGTATTGTGTTTGGCACTTTGTCAGCAAATTGAGTTTGTAGGAACAATTTGAACTCGAACATTCATGTGGATAGCTCCTGTTTTCTTGGAGGCCATTGCAACAAGCCCAACTTTTTCTCCTCTTCACATCTCTGCATTGCAAAGTGCTTTATTTTGCTTGGCATTTTGTTTTGCTGAAGTACAATCTGTTGTTCCTGCTCTACATTCCTCGCAGGTTTATCACACAGTCATTTGATGTTTCTTTAGGGGAGAGCAGACTTTGGGGAAAGGAAAAAGGCCATTGTAGGGTGTGTTTTATTTTCATCGCCCTCACCTCGTTTTTTTTTCACAAGTTGAAACCAGTGAAGGCTACTGTTATTTTGTTGTTATCATTATTCCTCTAAGCCTATGGTTAATAAGTTTAGTTTTCCACCCTGAGCTAAATGGCTTTTCTCTTTTTCTGAACGGAAAAATACACTGGTAAGCCTACTACTCTCTTTCCTAATAGGTGAAGAAGCGTCAGCATCCGTTGAGGGTATAAAGCCACAATAAAAGACATTGAAGACACTACTGTTTGTGAATTTCATTATTGAAATATTGATCAGACAGCTCTTCTTGTAACTACCAGATATTCACTCAATCCGTTTAGGGAATGAATATTCAGTGATCCACTTATGAGAAAGATGTGCCCCCCCCCCCTTTTTTAACTTCCCTCGTTGTTAAGGGATGAAGGGATTTAAGCATCCGTGTGACACTTCCACACATCCGTGTGACAGCCCTTCTTATCTGACACTTCTATCAGACTGGGGCATTAAGGCTCACTAGATTTGAAATGATTTTATTTAATAAGCATACGTAGGCTGTTGCACACTATTAACATATTTCCTGAATAATGTCTTAAACTCACTCCTCAGTCACAAACTTCCTTGACATAACAACTAAAAGAGTTTCCTAAGTGTTCAACTATTTTTATTTTTGTTCAGTTATTTTGCAATAGTACTTAGCATCAGGATATCCTGACCCTTGGAACAAAGGGGTTAAGAACAAAGAAAACAAATATATGATATAATATGTCACACACACTAATGTATTAAGAATACAACTCTACATGGAACATTTCTTTAAGAAGGACATTTTAAAAAATCCAAGCATATAAATTTCCACTGTATTCACTGTATTGTTTTGCATATTTCCTTGTAAAAATATCTGAGAGAAGTTACAAAATGTTGGATCATTGAACATGAATACTTCCTGGTGGAGATGAGTTAGGGCCAAGCAAACACCATCTCAAATTTTCATTCCCAAGAAGGAATCTACTTTGTTTGAAGGTTTAAAAATTGAAAAGTTTGCACAATTCTTAAAAAACCTCTCCCCAATATGGGATTATCTTCATCCCAGGGTAAAAGTGCAAAAATACCACAAGAAAGGTCATTCTCATGGTATTTCTGTCTCACATAGAAACAGGAAGTACAGGAAATCTTGCGGGAAAGCTTGGCTCAGGAGATTTTTGGCTCAACTGCAGGCTCAAGGGATTGGGATAAACTGACAAGATGCTAGCACTTGGACTAAAATTATTATGCCACACACATTCTCTAACAGGTGGTTTTGTTACACTTCATAGCTAGTATAGGCTGTGATCTTTTTTGTCCTTCAGATAGTTACTTTGGAAGAGCATGCCTATAAACCTATGATTTTAACCTTCTTCAGTGAGTATCATTCACCTTGAGATAGTACCTATTGTCAGAAGTTTGGATCACTGGGGATGGGGAAAAGGGACTGGTGAGAAGGTTCTGTACCCAGTGGAGCCATGGAGCAAAGAGATCTCATCTATGTGACTTGCGAGGATTCTTACAAAGCTTAATATCTGTAATGAATGTGTTATAGATAGGACATTTTAAACTTTCAAAATAACCTCATTTTTAATTTCAGGCATGGTGAGCCAACCTAACTTTCCATTAAAAGGAAAATAAGGTAGTTTTTTTCCTGTGTAAAAGAAATGTAATGAGAAGTAACCAAGTCAAAGATAGCTTGTTCCAATGGATACCGAATTCTACCAAAAATACTTTGCTATGTGTTTGCAGCTATAAAGGAAAGAATTTGTAACCACAATACTAAAATTTATGGCCAAGAACAAAGATTCAAAGACATAATGATTTAGAACCTGGATTATTTTGAAGAATTTCTAGTGTTCTGGGGGCTATGTAAAACTCTTATAGACTTGTGGGTGTTCTAGTCATTAAGCAGATAAGTCTTTATTATATGTGATTTTAAAAAGAAATATTAACAATATCAAATATTTCTAAGCATTTTAAGAAATATATATATATTTTAAAGATTTTATTTATTTATTTGAGAGGGAGAATGAGAGACAGAGAGCACGAGAGGGGAGAGGGTCAGAGGGAGAAGCAGACCCCCCGCTGAGCAGGGAGCCCGATGTGGGACTCAATCCCGGGACTCCAGGATCATGACCTGAGCCGAAGGCAGTCGCTTAACCAACTGAGCCACCCAGGCGCCCAAGAAATATATTTTTTAAAGATTTATTTAGTGGAGAGAGAGAGAACATGTGCATGCAGGTTGGGGGAGGGGCAGAGGGAGAGACTCTTCAAACCAACTCCCTGCCATGATCTGAGCGGAAACCAAGAGCCAGACGCTTAACCAAGTGAGCCATCCAGGTGCCCCAAGAAATGTATTTTTTAATGGAAACTTGGAAATGTATACTTATTTTGATTTTTTTAAATTTTGAATTTATTAACAGATTCTCACAAGACTTCACTTTAATGGAAATCTTCCCACTTAGGTATTTTGGCAATACTTTATACACTTATTAAACCCTATTCTGCCTCTATCTTTAAAGAAAAATTTCAAACTATTGAAGGAGTTTATTAATTTTGTCCTGGCCTTTCCTCTCCATCAGTTCAAACACAGATGTGTAAACACTCACACACACACACACACACTCACACACGACCACCCTGGTTTCACAAATGCAATTCAAATGAAATTCAAAATGAGCGAGGAAGGAAAAACAGGTCTTTCAACTTGGTTTAATGTAGTCTAAATAGAAGAAGCTCAAACAATTTACAGTGTCCTTCAAAAGAAATAGAAATGTAATAACTTTGGCCTTAACTAATCTCCAGGGATGATGCCAACGAATAGGGAAAGAGACTTGGTCTGCAGACCAACCACATAAGGCTGCATACATCTCCACTGTCACATGGAAAGGGAGGAGAGTCGATGGGGCAAGATGAGGAAAGATGAGGTAGGAAAAAGAGATTCATAGTATGATTTTACAGCAAGTGTTTAAACTACAACCAAGTCTTTTCTTGTTCCCTTTGCAGATACGTATTAATAATGAGAGCAAGAGCAGAAGGGAGAACCGTTTGTGTAACTCTTTTCAAGCACCAGGGACCTGCCTGGCCTCCCCAACCTAGGTTCTAGTTTTCACTGTGAGTTACCCCTTCTTCTATTTCTTTGCTTTACACATTTAAAGAGAGACACCAGGGTTTTAGCTGGCATGAGATCTCTATCTTGGCTCTCAGACATCTTAATTAATGCTAAGTTTACTGCCTCTGACAGTTAACCCATAACAAAGAGTCCGATAACACAGGGATTGAGAACAAAATGGCAGAGAGACTTGACTTTCTCCACTTTGCTCTCCTCTCTGCTGTCGAAAACCCATACATAAAAAAAGACACCGTTTCATGGTAAGACGACGACGACAACAACAACAACAACAACAACAACAAAAACCCCTCAAAACAAACAAGACCTCCCCCTACCCCCTGCTATTGTTTCCATTACTGAACACCTGATGCTTTGCTCTGTGACAATGGCGTCCTCTGGCTGAAACCTTTCCAGGACTTCAGAACTTATTTCCAATTGGGAAAGATTGTAGGTGGAGTACACTTTTCATAATTTCATACTGTGGTGTGTCAACTTCTGAATAAATAGCTACAGCAATGAAATCTCCAAAGCAGCCCTCTAAGACTTAGGGTTACAAAAAGTATGTTTCCATCTCAACTCACCCCAGAGATTTGCCTCAAACTTAGTGACTTCTCCATAAATGGGTATGATGTCAATAACTACCTTTCCCATCACACTGGGATCTTGTAAAAATAAAATAAGATTAACCTGTGAGTTAATTTAAAACCATAATGCACTATAACATTTTTAAATGATTATTTTTGAGCTGTAAGAAATTATAATTGACAATTTACCTACACTCAAATTTTGACTATGTTCTCCTGGGATCTATCAGAAAGCTGAAAAGTCAACCACCCAACCCTTGAAGTAGGTCCTACTTTGGAAATCTGTGTTCCCCAAGAAGATGTAGGAGCAGAGGAAATCAAAGGCAGGGGTCTTGGAGTACTGGACAGTGGCCCAATGGGAGAGGCGGTGAGGGATTTAATGTACAAAGGTGGGGTAAAGGAGGCTTATAAAATGATTGAAATGTGGATGAGGACAGATAAACAGAAGACGAAATAGGTGCTAAAAAAGGGTCTCAATAGAGTAAATATTCATTGTAACTGTTTTTCGGAGGTGGGAAAACAGCCATGAGTCATCCCTAGGGTCTCAGCCTGCATGATCTGCACCGTCATTATTATTTACTGCCCTGGTCAATACTGTATAGGTTCCCTTGCTTGGGAATTTCAATTTCGGCCCACGATGACTATGGTATATTTGATATTCACGAGCTGTACAGCTCT